ATCTGAGGTCAAGTATTTCCTTTGGGACTATTAAAAATCTCTCGTGCATCACCTTGACTCAATTTTCTCTTACACTGAGGGAGTAGAGAATAACCGTCACCCTAGAGCAAAGGCTCAGGGAATAGTATTTGCTGGGTCCCCCACCCCTAAGCCTTTGAGGGGGTAACAGCAGCCTACTGGGGACCATCCAGCTGACAAGAGATAGACTGGGGTGTTGGCATTGGATGCTGGCAGTTGGTCACAGCCAGAGACCAAAGAAGCTTTCTAAACTCTGTCTGGAACTTCCTCTTTTATTTTATCATAATTTAGTAATTCCCTATATTCAGCATAGGGGTAAATATAATCCTTGGTGAGCTTCCTATTTATTTAGTTGGCAGGAGAGACACATGAGAAGGGGTTAATGCTGCACATTCCTCATGGCAGGGGTTGAAAGTGAGTGACACAAGAGAGCCCTGTATCAGGTGAGTGCGGGGTGAGCTCACATGCTCTGGGGTGTTCATGGAAGGTGGCCTGAGGAACCCCCCTTTTATGACTCTTTGGAATTTCTAATGTGCTCTTCCATGTTTGATGTCAGCTACTCATTATAATCACCCTGTGAATCTGGCCTTATTTTCCTCCTTTTTAATAAACCAAGAAAGTGAGGTTCAAGGAGGTAAGAGTTTGTCTAAGCCATGGGGCCGGGAAGGGTAGAGCCAGGATTTGAAGTTGAACCCAAGGATCTTTCCCCCACACCACTGCTGCTTCCTGTCTGGGACCTACCATCCCTTCTCCATATATCCTCTGTTTTTTCTGCTTCTTCTCTCTGCCTCTCCTGACTCAGAATCCTTGCCTTCAGATATCTCCCTTACATGACCCATCCCACTCCATATCTCCACTTCCCTTTTATTCCTATCACTCCACTGGTTTTCTCCTTATGTCTCCCAAGCCTGGGGGCTGAGCCATGGATTCCCTCTCCTACCAAGAGGGTTCCCTCTCCTACCCTCTCCAACCCCAAAGTGGTTAGGGTCAGAACTAGGGCTGTGTGGCCCTAGTTCGGATATGCCAGAACTATGGTGGCAACTGTCCTGACTTGCCTAGGACTGTCCCGGTTTAGGCACTGAAAATCCAGGCAAAGTGGGACCCTTGGTCATCTTACCAGGATCTGAGAGTTAACTATATCTATGCTTGTTTAGTGTGTTATAATGTTCCATGCCTTTTCACATGCCTTATAGCATTGAGAAGTTTCCTTGAGAAATAGCTTCTCTGAGTCCTTTACATAACTGAGACTCTGGCGTAAGTGACTTGCCTAAGATCACAGGCTAGTAGAAGCAGGGCTGGGAGCTGAAACCAGTTTTTGTGACTATAAATTTCAGGTTCACTTTCTGTCTATCCCACAGTGTCTCCTGGAGACAGTCCACTAAAGCAGTTACTGAGCAGATAAGGTGGGGAGACTTGAAGCTGCCCACAGAGCCCCTCCCAGCCTAAGGTGCCTTCTCCTCACTGCAGCTCTGCGACACCTGTCTTGTTCTTTCCCACCACCCGCCTTTCCCACCTCTGTAGTTGTTGGCCGCTGTGGTTTCAGTTCCAACTTTTGTGAAAATATTTACTTATTGCATAAATACAAAGGAAAAGGACATTTAAAATATTAGGAAAAAACCCTCCTATAATTCTCAATAAGTTGATGTACTTTTTTGGTTACTTTTTAAGCCTCCCTTCTGTGCAATCTTAATTTTTATGAGTTCATAGTGCAGACACACTGGTGTATATTTAGCTTTCTTCATTTAACCTTGTATCATAAGCGTTTTCAACAATGCTGCTATTCAGTCTCCTTGCAGATAATTTTAAATAGTTGTATCTAAATGGGCAAGCAAACGTTTAGCCATTTTTCAGACTCTGGACATTTAAGGCTATTTCTCCCACATTTATTATTATTATTATTATTATTTTATTATTATTAAGTTTCAGCTGAAAGCCACCGTCCATTTGAGTTCAGAGAGCAAACACACATTTTTGTTGGATGACACTGATGCTCAATGAAAGAGCTTCATTCCAGGCTTGCTGGCAGTGCTTTCCAGAATTTGGGCCCATACACTAGTGTTGGTCCAGGGCGCTTTGTTACAACTTTGAGAAGAGATAAATACAGAATGTGAGAATAACCATTTAGAAACTTAATTAATTTTTCCCATTTACAATAGAACAACTTTATGTCTATTGAACTTAAAAATAAAAAATTGGGGCCCATTTATTGTATATCTTTAAAAAATTCTCCTCTTAAGGGAAATTTTTAAAATTTTATTTTACAAAAGCATTGGTCTAACATACATTGGACATAAAAAAAAAGAGATTTCATGATAGTTTGTCTTTTTTTTTTTTTACTGATCAAAAAAGCACTTTAATAAATTGGCTTTCATTTCCACCCTTTCCAACTTACTCTAAATAAAAAATAAATGCAAAACACAAATAAGATTTGTCTTCCCAAATTTAGTATATATAAACAAAAATGACAATTTTTAGATAAAATACTCAGTTCTAAAAGAGAAATTGTATCAGCCAGGAAACACTTTAGCCAATCCCTCTCTAGTCATAGCCACACAAAAGAATCTTCCAAGGAAAGCTGACCAGTGAGATAGTTACGCTTGTACTCTTAGCTATAAAGAATTAAATTTAAAATGCATTCTCTTTCATCTTCTAATGAAACATAACCTATTCTCAGGAACAGTGTGAGCACTGTTATGGTAGTCTAACTCCTAAATGAAAATATGAGCGGAGATACAGTTTACTGTAATAACGTAGCTAAGAAACCTTTGAAAATTAGCCAAAGATCAAAGTATTTACATAAATTCAAGATCTTATCTTAGGATGAAAGGTAACCTACTTTAAAAAGAACATTGAAATTAAACCCTTCAATTACAACCAGTCAAAACTTTAATTCAGAATGTTTCTTAAATATCAAATTTCTCTTCACAGACACTATGTCCATTTTCTTCATAATCTTCTCTTGTTACTACCATATCTTCAAAATCGTCATTCTCTGATATCAATTTTCCACCTTCCCAGGCATAAGTAATAGGGTTTTCAGGCAGCACAACTGAAACATCATCATCTGTTGGAGTGAGACATCGAACTTCTGAGTAAACCCAATCTCTAAATCCTGGGAAAAGGGAATTTCCTCCTGTCAAAACAATGTTCTTAAAAAAATGCGGCTGCATTTCTTCAGGTAAGTTCTGAATTGAATAGACGATTGCTTCTGGAATACCCATTTCTTGAATTCCTATATCAGAAGGATTAAAAAGTATTTCTGGAATAGCAAATCTCTCATTGGCCAGACGAAGAATTTGTTCCCCAGATTTGTATTTTCCTCTTAACACCATCTCTTCCCTTGGCTCACAAAATAAACTTTTTAATTGTACTGAAGTCAGGTAAAACATAGTCTATCATTACTGTATTTTCTTCTCCTTTCAACTTTGCAATATCCATATCTCTATAAAAATCCTGAGACACATAGCACACATCTTCTTTCACTTGATTAATCACATGTGTTTCATCCATAACATGTAGCTGCCGGTAAGATATGATCTCCCTTAGATGATTGGTTAGGAGTTTTCCCCCCACATTTATCCGAATAATTGCTTCTTTTTTCTTTTTACTTCTACAGTAAGGAACTATATGTGTAAAGGAATATCCACTATCTACAATGATACAGCATAATTCAGAAGGATTATCTCGAAAATACCTATGTGCACTGAGAACACCAGCATTTACTCTTAAGACTGCTTGGAACTGATATTCTTCAAATAGGATTTTATTCATTGATTCTTGAATTGAAGTGAAGTTAAAGTATGGTTCTGTAATAATAATATTGGTATCTAAAAAATCAACCTGATACATTTCTTTTCCAAAAAGGTAATCCCACACCTGTCTTTGAACATCCCAATTCACCAAGTAGCCCTTCTGAAAAGGAAGGATGTAAAAGAGTCCAGAAGGGTCCTTTATTTCATCTATCTGGTTAGCAGTAAAAGTTTTAAGACGTGCTGTTTTTGACCTGAACTGACAGGAATTACCGACACATTTTCATGGCTGTAACCGATTTTGGCATTGTAGGCTCCGTTATCCAGCACTAAGGTCGTCATTTTAACGAGAACCAAACGGCAGCCGCTTTCTCCTCCTGACACTTCGGCTCCCTCTTTTTCCGGTACTCTCGATAGTTTGTCTTCTGGTCTAGAAGACCATGTTTAGTCCTGAGAGATGCTCAGTGCATCTGCAACCATAGACCTTCAGTGCTATAAGAGCTCATCTTCTTTGCAGAGGAGGAGCCTGAGGCACACAGAACAGCACATGATGCACCCAGCAAAATGTGAACAGTCTTGGGCAGAGTCTCCTGGCTTTCACTTGCACTCAATGACCACAATAATGTTTTCATGTGATTAGAATTTGGGATGTGCATGGTGGTGATCAGTAACAATAAGGAGCAGAAGCAGGGGGAGGGGAGGGGAGAACAAAACTTTCATCTGATCAGGATAATGCTATGGCATTACCTGTTCTACCTCTGTCCCAGCTGTGATCACAAGGCAGCTAGACAACCCTTAGCTTTGCCCCAGATCTCCCTGGTCACACCCCAAGACAAACAATTCAACGGTGGCGTTTCTCAGGAAGGTATCAGCTAATGATTTGGGGGAAACTGTATAGGAGTTTCCAGCAACTCGGTCCTGAGAGATTATTGCACTCTGATCTCTAAATGGCAAGAGATGAATGATAAATGATCAAGTTGGGGAAGTTTATCTACAGTACAATTTCTGCAACTCATAGGTGTGAGGTTTTAAACAGATGTTGCTGGCAGGCAAACTAAACATAAATATTCCCCTCCCAGGATTCGGAAGGTGCCCAGCCCAGCGAATGCATGTATATATAGGGACTAAGCCAGCTCTCTTGTCAAAGGAGTCATAGCTCTTTTCCTCCTGGGTCTCTGCCTCGTTCCAGCCGGGACTTTTCTTTTGGCTGCTTCTCTGGATGTTCTAGCAACCATGAGCCGCCAATTTAGCTCTCAGTCAGCATTTAGCTCCAGGAGCAAGCGGTTCTATAGCACAGGCTCTTCTGCAGGCTCTGGCGGTGGGAGTCGGGCTGTGGGGTCTGTGTGTCAGGTCCGAGGCAGGTGTGGTGGTGGTGGTGGTGGCGGGTATGGGAGCCATGCCAGGGGGTTTGGTTCTAGGAGCCTCTACAACCTGGGAGGCAGTAAAAGCATCTCTATTAGCTTAGTGGGAAGAAGTGCCAGTGGTTTCTGCCAGGGTGGGGGCGCAGGAGGGAGATTTGGAGGAGGGGGCAGAAGTTTTGGGGGAGGTGGCTTTGGAGGTGGTGGCTTTGGGGGTGGTGGCTTTGGAGGTGGTGGCTATGGAGGAGGTGGTTTGGGGGGTAGCAATTTTGGGCTTGGGGGCTTTGGTCCTTCCTGTCCCCCAGGGGGCATCCAAGAGGTGACTATTAACCAGAGCCTCCTTCAGCCACTTCACTTGGAGGTGGACCCTGAAATTCAGAGAGTCAAGACCCAGGAGAGGGAGCAGATTATGGTCCTCAACAACAAGTTTGCTTCCTTCATTGACAAGGTGAGTACCTCAAGGGCAGGGGATCTCTGGCCCCTGATCAAATAATTGAGAGGGCCTTGTGCCCCTGCCACCTCTTACCACCTTGTATTATCTCAGTTTGGTGGTGACAATCACTTCCAGAAGTATATGTTCTGAGACCTTAAGAAAGCATTTATTTCATTAGGCCTCAATTTGACTTACTGAGGGGATTTGTCTTTTCCTTTTGGCCTGAAAGGAGGTAAGAAGTGTGAAAATATCCCACAGAAAAAATACATGGTGTAGTGACTTTATTCTCATTCACCATTATTCACTTTCCATCTACCCACTCACCCATCCACCCATCCACCCATCCACTCTTTCATCTACCCATCCCCTCATCCATCCATCCATCCATCCATCCATCCATCCCTCCATCCATCCACACATCCATCCATCCATCCACACATCCATCCCACAAACATTTACTAAGCATCTACTATATGTCAGATACAGTGTCAGGTGCTACACAGTGACAAGAACACAGGTCCTGGCCTCAAGTTGCCATGGCACAGTCTAGACGAATGCTCTGAGGGTATTACTAGGGGCTAAAGTGAATAGCATACTAGGTAGGATTCTATCACTGTTCCTTGTTTTAGTTTATCCAAGGCCAAGAATGGGCCAGATGGAGTCATCATAGCCCCTTTCTCTAGTTCCTTAATTATACATCATGTTAGGGCTGGTCCAGACACAGATCAGCAAGCAGAGGCTGGTAGAGGCCTATGATAAGGACCTTCTTCCAGCATTTCCTTTTGTCCAGAGTTGGAGGCACAGTACCCCCTGTAGACTCCCCAGAAATGTCTTTGTTCTTGGTGATGTAGTGGGAAGCACCCTGGGGCACAAAGACCCCTGGATGCTCAGTGACTTTCCCTCAGTCCCATAGGAATCCAGTGTTGGGGCCAGAGCTTGACCTGTGGTCTGACTGCAGATTACCCATGGCTAAAGTTGACCACTGGGCTGTGGATATCCAGTCTGATATCTGGGTAGATTCTGGGAAAGGACAGAGTGTGTGAGCTGGGGCAGGAGGGGTAAGAGTGTTGAGGCCCAAAGATAGCCAAACGGGAGTTGAATAGAACAAAGTGTTTCTGGCTACTTCTGATCACCTTGGGTGGGAAATTTGGCTGAACATTTTCATACCTCAGGTATGGGCAGGGACTGGGAAGGCTTGACTGGTGTAAGGAGGTGACAGGTGAAGGAGACACCACTGGAGGTCAAGACAAAGTTAAGGAGGAGGTGAGAGAAGAGACAACTGAAGGTCAGTGAAATGGCCATGGGCTACTGGCACCTGATCTCCTGAGAGATTGTGGTTCCCACCATTAATATAGGACATTTGTTACATTTTATGACATGGGGCTATGGGCAAAGGCCAAGTTGTAGGTGACTGTGACAAGCTGACCTTCCCAAAGACTTGTCATAACCATGAAGAAAGAGCCCTTATCCAGGAAGACTCTAGCATAGCTGGGAGGGAGAAGCCTTCTACTGCAGTGGATTCTGACTCTACTTTCTTATCTGGTCTTTTTTCTTTCACCTTTACCCTCATATAGTCCATTCTCAGAGTCACACAAGAGCTACCATTTAAGAACATTCTATCATTGTATCATTTCTCTTTTTGAATCCTCCATTGGCTGTTCGTCTCATTTGGAATAAAAGCAAAGATCCTATAAGGCCCTGTGTGATCTAGCCTCTGCCCCACAGCTGCTGCTCACTCCTGGATTGCATTTGTGAGAATTAGGCAACATTGCCACCACTGGGTAGAACATCTCTCAAGCTGCAAATTTTGGTCAACAGAGTGAGGGCTGGAATTTAGCTCCCCAAGGTACAAACTCATTGTTTGCAGTGACCCTTCACTCCCTCTGTGCTCCTTTCCTGTTTCTCTCTTGCTTACCAGGACACTATTGCATTCCTGAACCCTCTAGCACCCCATGCCTGCCTCAGGACCTTTGCTCTTGCCATTCCCTCTGCTTTGAACTGCTCCTTCCTGAGAGTGGTCTGGCTTGCTCCCTCACCTCCTTCAGGTCTTCTCTCAGATGCCACTATCTTAGCGGAGCCTTTCCTGATTTCCCTTTTTTTTTTTTTTTAAAGACTTTATTTATTTATTTGACAGACAGAGATCACAAGTAGGCAGAGAGGCAGGCAGAGAGAAAGGAAGGGAAGCAGGCTCCCCACCAAACAGAGAGCCCGACATGGGGCTTGATCCCTGGACCCTGGGATCATGACCTGAGCTGAAGGCAGAGGCTTTAACCCACTGAGCCACCCAGGTGCCCCCCTGATTTCCCTTTTGAAGTAGCACCCACAGACCAGCATCTTTATCCATCCTTATCCCTGTGTTACTTTTCTCCATTGTCCCTAAGGCCATTTGACATACTGTATATTTCAAATGCCTCCGGGTGTAGACTATCTAGGCCAATTACCACCCTGGCATAGAGGGTTCAAGCTCAGCTGAACAAGGTCAGGCCGGTATCCCCATGGGAATAGATGGACCCCCCCCCTTTCCTTCCAGAGGTCCTTTTTCCCTTGCCTTTGGTTCTACAAAAGCCTTGTGTCTATTTCTACTCTCCGATTGTCCAAGCCCAACACCTGAAGGGCTGACTAGATTTGTCATTCAACATGTATTTATTGAGTAATTATCATATGCCAGCCTATTCTGGGTGTTCGAGATTCAATTATAAACAAAACAGACAAAATCCCTGCTTTCTAGGAGTTTCCAGTCTATTCAGAGGGACAGCTGTCTACACTTGGAGGCAATTCCAAAGCCCTTAGCATTTCACTAGTCCATGATACTTATGAACTGTCTTCTCTGTGTTGGGCACTGTGTGTCTATGGGTCTGAGCACCTTGTGTCTACAGGAGATCAAAGCCAACATGGGCCTGCCTTCCTGAGGATCTCCAGCCAAGGAGGGTTATGTTCAAATAACACTAAGTGATGGCAAGTCACACTAGATGCTCCGGGGAAGGGACTGAGGGCTATAAAGGCAAGATACCAGGAGAATGCCACTTTAGTTGAGATCAAGAGGGTAAATGCTTAGCCAGGCAAAGAGTTGCTGGAGGCAGCAGGAGGTCCCTGGGGCTGGAGTGTCATAAACAGGAGGGGGAGGAGCATAACAAGCCAAGAGGGGTGTGCTTTTTCCAGAATGAAGGTGAGCTCAGCATGATGCTAGTTTCAGCTGTACAGATGGGACACAGCCCAGGTGTGTTTTGGGGGGCCTGGGAAAAAATCACAATGGCTTTCAGTGATTTTTCTAGCTACTAAATCCTACTAAAATTGCCTGGCACTCTCTGCACCCAGTCTCTGCCTTTGCAGTTTGGGTGGCCTGATGAGACCACGGGTTCCTTTGCTGATGTGCTCTGAGTTATCATGTGTGTGCAGGGGGAGAAGGTCCTCCGGCTAACCTGTCCCTCATTGTTTGATGTGGAGATTCCTTGTGGGTCCATGAAATTTTTTCCTTCAGTTCCCACAATACTGAGCACAGGGCTGAGACCCCATGTCTGTTTGATTTGTCTACCTCCTCGCAATGCTGCTAGAACAAAACTAGGCCAGGTGGCAGGAATTACCCATGGCGGGGGTTGGGGGAGGGTTCAAGCTGAGACAACCTGTGAGATCTGCTTGCCTTAGCTCTTGCTTTAATGAAGCTAAAAAAATGAGCCATGGGGAATAGTGTTCACTGTCTCCCAGCCCAGAGTAAAAATTCAAAGGGAGTTAACAAGGGCTGGCCCCTCAGAAGGGCAGTCCTAAGGGACGGGTGGCATTGTAGGGGAGTGTCTTCAGGGTTCTGTCCTGACCACACAAAGCAGTGGGTTTGTCCTCATACACAACTCCCAGGAGGATTCTGGAATGTTTGTGTGTATGTGTTGTGTGTGTGTGCACGTGTGTGTGTGTCTGCACCCGAGCGAAGTATAGAGGCATCCCCTATCTTCACCTAAGGCATGGGAAGGGAGGCTCCATCTGAGGGCCACCTGTGGGGGTAAGGTGAAGGTTGATCATGATCATGCGGAGCACAATCCATGCACTTGGTCTGCACAGCCAGTCAGCTCTCTGGACCCTGTACCTGACCTCTGTGCCCAGTTTTGGAAGAAGAGGTAGTGAGAATATAGGATGATGTCCACTCTCCATTTTCTGTGTCAGTGAATGTTAATGAAGGGAATCGCAACATGAGTATTTCCCAAACACTAGATAACCCCAAAGTCCTTACTTTAGGGCATGCGTATGCATTATACAACATTTCTAAAAAGTGGGAACAGGGCGCCTGGGTGGCTCAGTTGGTTAAGCATCTGACTTCGGTTCAGGTCATGATCTCAGGGTCATGGAATTGAGTCCCACTTCAGGCTTCCTGCTCTGCGGGGAGTCTGCCTACCCACTCCCTTTGTCTCCCCCGCCCCCGTCGTGCTCTCTGTCTCCCAAACTAGTAGATAAAATGTTAAAAAAAAAAGTGGGGCGATTTGTTTTTAAAATTCTGAGTTAGCATTTATGTGAGGTGACCTTCTGAAACATACACTGGCAGGAAATGGACATGGTGGACCCTAAAGGATGGGGGCACCCAGGCTGGTTTGGTCAGAAATCAGTATCATATAATAAGTCAAATTGTTTCTTCCCTCTTATTGTCTCCTCTTCTCAATCCCAGACAGCATTTCAGCCACAAAGAGAAATGAGCCTTGGATATTAGTGTTTCAGATGCTCTGCATGCATCTGATGCATTTTTTTATGCTGGCAGGGAGTGTGGCGTGTGGGAGTGACAGCTCTGTGGTGTACGTGGCTGTAGCTGAAGGAAAGAAGCACTCCACTGGAGGTGGTTAACCATCAAAATCAGAGTTAGCTTAGTTTTTTTTTTTTTAAGATTTTATTTATTTATTTGATAGGGAGAGACACAGCGAGAGAGGGAACCCAAGCAGGGGTGAGTGGGAGTGGGAGAAGCAGGCTTCCTGCCAAGCAGGGAGCCCGATGCAGGGCTCCATTCCAGGACCCTGAGATCATGACCTTAGCTGAAGGCAGACGCTTAATGACTGAGCCACCCAGGTGCCCCAGAGTTAGCTTAGTAACTCAGAGTTAATTTTAGGCAAGTTGACCTTATAGCCCTTGATCAACCATCAGAAAACACATTGTGTTCTGTGTGTCCTCGTCCCACAGAAAGGGAAGCTCTCTGATCCCAAGGGGGGCCATCTTGATTCTCTGAGGTCAGATATGCTGTCTGGTTGCCAGACTTCCTACCCGTGGGGGTGCTTCTTGGACCCACAGTCCAGGAGGATGAACTTGGAAGTCTCTCGCTCTTAGGTGCGATTCCTGGAGCAGCAGAATCAGGTGCTGCAAACGAAGTGGGAGCTGCTGCAGCAGGTAAACACCTCTACTCGGACCAATAACCTGGAGCCCATCTTGGAGAACTACATCAGTGAGCTTCGGAGGCAGGTGGATTTCCTCAATGCCGAGCAGATGCGCCAGAACAGTGAAGTTAAGAACATGCAGGATGTGGTGGAGGACTACAAGAACAAGTGAGACCGAAGGAAGGGTAAACGGGTCAGGCACTGATTCAGGGGCAAGATGTTCTGCTTTCGTGTTACTATGTCAGGGGGGGACCAGGGTCCCCACATACAGCCACCTGGCTCTGCACTGCACAACCACAGAGGGCACCATCTTGCCTATGGCAGCTTGGGTAGGATAGCTCTCAGTTGTACTGGGTGGGAAGGGCAGACTATCCTCAGGGTGCTGGACCCAGATGAGCCAAATTCCAGTGGGTTTTGCCACTTTCTGACTGCTTACAACTCTGTCTTTCTAAGCCTTTAGTTTTTACCTTAGTAAAGTAGGGATGGTAAGTACCTTCCCTGTTGGGTTGCTGTGACAGGCAGATCGCGGTTCTCAGGCTTCAGTGTGCAGCAGGCTGGTTGAGTAGGCCTGGACCAGAGGGTTTGCATTTCTAGTATGCTTCCATGTGATGCTGGTGGAGTGGGGACCACACTTTGAGAACCACCTGTTTAGATGACATTATGCTTAATGGGTTCCTAGACTACGTCTGCACATACTAAGCACTAGTTTTTATTAGTCAGAATGGTACGGATGGCAGGACTTGTCTAATGCCAGATCAGCTGCTCCTGCACCCTGTAGGCAACTGAATGGCTTCTCCCTCCCCACGTGACAGTGCAGGGTGTTACTCTTGACGTCACCCTGACACGCCAATCAGAAAGTCAAGAGGGTGTGGTTCCAAAAGGGCAAGATGAAATTCACACTGAAGGTGTTGGGGGGCAACATGTTAGGTGACATTTTTTTCTCTTTAAAACAATTTAGCAAAAGTGGCTATTTATGTTCTCAACTGCAAAAAATGAGTGAGCTCAACAAATTTACAAAGGTAAAACATCAAAAGAAAGAGGGACATTTCGGGGTGGTTCTGTGTGGCTCTGCATTTTCCACTTTGGATTGTTGTCCTCTCTATTGACCTGGAAGGCCCAGAACTGGTTTCAGCTACTTGTCTGTGAGAGTGGCAGGGGATAGTGAAAGTCTAGCACTAAAAGTTTGGATATTCCAAGCCGCCTGCCGTGAGGAAAAATCTCAAGGAGCCAAGGTCAGCCTCAGCAGCCTATCTGTGTCTCTTACTTCCCCCTACAGATACGAGGAAGAGATCAACCGGAGGGCCAACACTGAAAATGACTTTGTCGTCCTGAAGAAGGTGAAGGATGGGGGTGATCCCAGGGGGACGGTGGGCCCAGTGGGCTGAGCAGAGTGAGGAACTACTGTGGGATACTATGTGACCAAGCCGGGAATGGTGACCACTAGGGGCAGCTTGTTGAGGGTGTGGCCTGAATGCTGGGCCCCTGCACTGAAGAATTAAGTCTGAAAGTGATGTTGATATCAATCTTTAGGCTTCCTTGAGTACTTATCTCTCTACAGTCCTGAAGGTAAAGTTCAATCAACTGACACCTGTCAGTCATGTGCAGCCTTGAGACCTGGGGAGGGACCTGAGGCGCTGTGTGTGAATGACTGGGATGAAGGGCTTAGTGTCACATTTCCTTCTGGTTAGGAGAGCCAAAGATTTTGCAGGTCCCTCACCTGAGTGAGGTGAGGAAATTTGCAGTCAAGGAAATAAACCAAGAGAGGTTTTGCCACTTGCCTGGGTCACCCCGTGAGTGTCCAGGCAACACCTGGACAATAAAGTCAGACTGTTTCTGCTTGCTGATCAGGATGTGGATGCTGCTTACATGAGCAAGGTAGACCTGGAGTCCAAGGTGAATGTCCTCTTTGGAGAGATCAGTTTCCTGAAGTATTTATTTGAGATGGTGAGTTCAGTCCTCATGAGAAACCCTTCTCTTTCCTTACATGTCACAAGGGGCTGTTGGAGGAGGAGGCCTGAAACACAGCATGACCCACTAGGGACTCCTCTCCCCAGTCACCTCAGCTCTGTGGGACTGGAGTCAACCTCCCAATCCCCAGTGCTCAGATTCCTGGGTGCAGGTGCTGGAGATGGGAGGCAGGGAGGGTCCTGAGGGAGAAGATGGAACAGCCCTTGTTTCTACCTAGACATGAGGTTAATACCCAGCACATACAGGGAGAAAACCAACCAGAAATCTTCATCAGTGCTGGGAAGCCAATAGGGCTATTGGGGAATTCTGTAGGAGAGGACAGTGGATCCTAAAGGGAATGAGGATGAAGCCTGCAGTGGTGAGGGATAATATGCTCCTACCCCTGACCCTACTGTTGCCATGTCTACCTTGGGCCAGATGTCGTGCGAGGAGCTTTGCCATGTCTTGGTCTTCATTCTGCTGATAAGAGAGCTGAGGCACTCAGAGACTCAGTCCCTCAGCTAGTCACTAGTTAGTTGGCAGTAGAGCCCAGGCTCAAAAGTGAGGGAATGGCTGCACAAGGAGCCTTTCTACTGCTCTGAGAGCTCATGTATTTCTTAAAGAACAAGTCTGCCTGTCAGAGAGCCCAACCAAAGATGGCAGCCAAGCCAACTAAGGCAGGAAGAGAGGGCACAGGAGAGGCATTGTGGGCGGGGGGTGCCTACAAGGCTCTGGATTCATGCTCCTTTCTTCTCCCCAGAGGCTAGGCCTGGGGGCCTTTACCTTTAGTTAAGGCACCTCTTGGGGTGAACAACTATTCAAAGATCTTTCCCCAAGACTCCCATCTGGCCCAGGCTTCTGTTTTCCCCAAAGAGACTTGAAGGGACAGGAGAGGGAAACTGAGGCCCTGGGAGGAAAGTGGAAAGAGTCAGCCTGTGTTCCATGCCTTGCAGGAGCTGTCCCAGATGCAAACCCATATCAGCGACACCAATGTCATCTTGTCTATGGACAATAACCGCTTCCTGGACCTGGATAGCATCATCGATGCAGTGAGGACCCAGTATGAGCTAATTGCACAGAAGAGCAAGGATGAGGCTGAGGCGCTGTACCAGACCAAGGTGAGCACTGCTGATTTTCCACCCAGACTTGGTACCCCAAACCAGACATAGCCTCAGAATTTCTACCATCTTCCTCTTATTTTGGAAGTTATATATATCTACACACATACATATATGTATCTGTATACATTATATATATATATAATATATAATCTCATTTGCTCTTTATGACAAGCCTGCAAGGTAAGGATTTGGCTACCCTTATTTTGAAGATAGTGGAGTATGACCTTCCCTAGTTTCCATAGGGTCTTATGGCAGGTAAGGGGCAGAAGCAGGACTTAAACTTAGGTGTCCTGTCTACAAACCCATTCCCTAAACCACTTATGATCTTTTTTATTCTTGCTTTTTTCATAATGATATCTTCTAAACTGTAGTTTCGTACTTTTGTCTTTCACTTATTATTTGTGAATGCCGTTCTGTGACATTAAATATTATACATCATTTTAATAGCAGCATGGTGTCCATGGTAAGAATATACCCTCATTTATGGCATAAACATCTCTGTGGCTAAGTTTTCGGGCACATCTCTGATTACTTCTTTATTATCAGTGGACTCAGACCTTTTCGGAGGGTGAAAACTGTAGTTAAGGATCAAAGGCTGGTTCCTTCATGCTGAACTCCTGGCACTTGAGATCTACTTTCTCAACACCAATCCTAGAGGGCCTCTGTCCCACTGCCCTACAGGCAGGCATTCCGAGCAGGGTGGATTTCAGCATCAGACCAGGGAGGTAAATGGTCAACAGGGAAAGCATCAGAATGCAGAGCTTCCCTTGAACCAGCAACTCTCCCCACTCCCTGCTACCTTACCTCCTCCAGAGCCCTGTGGGAGCTTACTGATGGGGCCACATAGATACAGAAATGACATAGAGAGGAGAATGGGAATAAACAAGGGGCATGCTGAAGGCCTCTGAGGAAATAAGGTCATGGCTGCTAGGGAAACCATCCTGGAAAAGGGTAGGAAGGAATGTGGTGTGCTGGCAAAAGGGAAGAGGTCCCGGTGTTGGTAAGGGCCAGCAGTAAGGCCTAGATGGGGGAATAAGTAGGTGGAAAAGGGCATCTAGGAGCAGCTTTGTCTAGGATTTGGGTCTGGCCAGAGACTGGTGAGAAAGAGGGCGGCTTGAACAAGACTCTGTGTGTGTGTATGTGTGTGTATAGGGGGTGTCATGGCTCAGATGAGGGATATTTGGCACAGGAGTGAATGAGAGTGTTATCAGGGGGTTGGGGCATAGCTAGGAACTGTCCCAGGAGAGCAGATTCGGGCGGGGCCTGGGAAGGTAGACTCACTCCCTTGAGGAGGGCCTCCTGCAGCGCAGCAGGCTGACCATGATGCTGTCTTTGTTCTCAGTACCAGGAGCTCCAGATCTCGGCGGGAAGACACGGAGACGAGCTGAAGAACAGCAAGATGGAGATCACTGAGCTCAACCGCACCATCCAGAGGCTACAGGCAGAGATCGGCAACGTCAAGAAGCAGGTGAGAAAGATGCTCAGGGTGGGCTGTCTGGACACGCCACCTCCCACAGGGCCCTGTCAGATGGGGCTCCTGAAACTCACCTCCCATTTGGTTCTTCTCTGCGACTGTACCCTGGGCAGATTGAGCAGATGCATGTGGTCATTTCGGATGCAGAGGAGAGAGGAGAGCAGGCCCTTCAGGATGCACGGCAGAAGCTTGGGGACCTGGAGGACGCCCTGCAGCAGTCCAAGGAGGAGCTGGCGCGGCTACTGCGTGACTACCAGGCACTGCTGGGGGCCAAGCTGTCCCTGGACGTGGAGATTGCCACCTACCGCAAGCTGCTGGAGGGCGAGGAGAGCAGGTGGGCCCTGCTTCTGGGGTCAAGTGCAGGCTGCCCCCGTGGGGTGGTGGGACTGCCTATTTGGAGAGAAAACAGTCCTTGCTTTCTGGGAAGATTAGTAGATTGGGCTGAGTAGAAACATTCAAATCAGAAGCAGAAGATATGTCAATGTCTTCAGTCCCCTGCCTCCCAGCAGAATGCCCCTATACCCCAGCCTAAGCCATACAGCCAGTGCTAAATGGCTTCCAGAAACTGCTTAAAACCCCCTCTAAGCCCCTCACTCCCTGACCCCCTAGCCTGTGCACCCACTTTTCCCTAAAGCTCGGGGACAGTTTTCACTTCAGGGGAATGCCTCTGCTCTGGATGTTTCCAGGCTGTCACCTGCCTTCCCCTGGCTTTGCTGGTCTGGTTGATGTGTGTGCTTTGGTTTTACAGGATGTGTGGGGAGCTGCAGAGCCATGTGAGCATCTGTAAGTCGCAGGGCCCAGGGGGTGGGCTGTTTGGGGCGGGGCAGGGCGGGGGCAGGGCCCGGGATGGCTGGCCAGCAAGGACCACGCTCAGCGTTCTAGTTTCCAGTCCTGCACCGTGAAAAAAACCGGTGAGCCAACAAATTGCAAAGCCTGGAGAAATTCCCTGAACTAAATTGTTACGATTTTAGTTCTTAATGTATTTTAGTGTTCACGAGACCTAATAATCAGTAGCAGCTTAGAACTTGTCAGAGTGTATGGATAATGAAAGCAGGTCCTGACATGCTTTGTCCTTTTTCATTATTATTATGATCATGTTCAATTAGCCAACATACAGTACATCATTGATTTTTTTTTTAATTTTATTTATTTATTTGACAGACAGAGATCACAAGCAGGCAGAGAGGCAGGCAGAGAGAGAGAGAGGAGGAAGCAGGCTCCCCGCTGAGCAGAGAGCCGGATGCGGGGCTAGATCCCAGGACCCCAGGATCATGACCCGAGCCGAAGGCAGAGGCTTTAACCCACTGAGCCACCCAGGCGCCCCACATCATTGATTTTTGATGTAGTGTTCAACCATTCATTAGTTCCCTAAAAGACCCAGTGCTTTCTCCTATGAAGAATACTTTGAAAAGGGGGAGCCTTTCATCCGAGGTAACTTTTTGCAAGTCAGATGCGGCCAGCCACTAAGGACGCAGGAAGCTGCCCGAGGGAGGGTGCAGAGAGGTGCAGGGGGAGGTCCAGGCTGGCGCCCTGGCCAGCCCTTCTGACCCACGCTGGGGATGCCCTCTCCCTACAGCTGTGCAGAGCAGCCAGACGACCGTCAGCGGCGGGGGCGGCGGGGGCGGCGGCAGCCGTGGCTCTGGAGGCTACGGTGGCGGCGGCTACGGGGGCTCCGGCGGCGGCGGCTCCCGTGGGAGCGGAGGCAGCTACGGCGGGGGCTCCCGAGGGGGCAGCGGAGGTGGTTACGCGGGTGGCAGCGGAGGCGGGAGCTACGGAGGAAGCAGCCGGAGCAGCAGCAAGTACGCGGGCAGAGGAGGCGGCGGCTCCTCCCGCGTGCAGATCATCCAGACCTCCACCAACACCTCCCACAGGCGGATCCTGGAGTAGAGGGAGGCTCACACACACCCCCGCCGGCAAGGCGCTATCCTGTCCCCTCCCCCGCGCCCTTCCTGAACCCTTCTCACTTACCTTTCTCTCCTGGGTCTCAGCAGCTTTGCTAACACATTCCACGGTAGCGGAAGAAGCAGGTGGATAACCCCAAACTGCAGATCTGGCTTTGGAGGGCCCTGGTTGGCGGTCAGAATCACAGCCAGACGGCTCTCCGCTCAGACTCCACTCAGCTGGCCCTGCTCCTGCCCCTGGGGACACCCAGGGCCCCAGTTTAGCACTGGAGAAAGAGAGCCTGTAGACTCTCCACCAAGCGGATGATGGAGAGTTAATGTCAAGGATATCAGGTTTCCTGCATCTTTCCTGCACCTGGGATGCCCTGTGAACAGTAATCCATCCCTTAGGGGACCTGCAGAATGAGGACTTTGGGCCAGTAGCTTGGCAAGAGGAACCTCTGTGCCACGGACCCATTCCTGTCCATTGGTCTGTTAGCCTCATACTTTCACCTCGGTGGAGAGTATGGATTTACTGTCCTCATCAGGCACAACGAAGTCATGTCTGGTCCTGATTCTGCATCTCTGTCTTAAGCATTGTTCTCTGGGTTAACAGCCCAAGGTGGGAGTATTTCAGAGGGCATGTGTCCTTGTCCCCTGGGAGGACTAATTACTGGTGAATAGAGGAGTTAGTGGACAAGCAATGGAGTTCTGCTCTGTCCTACCCCTCCTGACAGTTCCATTCTTTGTCAATCTGGCCCTTCCTGAATTCTGCTCCATAATGGCCCTCCTGAGAATTGTCCAGGAGGCTGGGCACATGCAGCCTAGCACTGTTGTGTCCATGTGCCAGGCCCTGAGGAGTTGGAGGATCAAGCATGGGTTTCAGGAGGGTTCTATCCTGACCAGTCTGGAAGCTGCTGGCCTGGTGTCCTTTCCTGGGGTCTCAAAGTCCCTCTGTTTTCCTCTTCTCTGTGACTGGGCACTTCGTGAGAATTTGACCCTTCCTTTCAGGCCTTCACAGGTGTTTGCAATGCGCTGGAGGGGACAGGAAGGGGAAACTATCAGCCAATGAGCGGGCCTGGAAAGGGGGAGGGGGAGGGCAGTGTTGCTTCTGAGATCTGGAGTCACCTTCTCTTCCTTGCTGAGTCCTAACGCAGCCTCCAAGTCCGTGATTCTGTTGGGACCTCAGACGGGCTCAGTGGGGGTCCCTTCATCATTTCCTGGTTGAAGGTTGTACCTTGAAGGGCTTGACATTTTTGGTGTTTCTACAATAAAATTTTCTGTGACCTCAAACTACTGTTTAGTCAGAGATAAGTGATTTCTTCTTAAGTTTCTGCAGGCCTCTGCAATTATTCATATCTGGAAATTATTATTTTTATTATTTTTTATTAAATGAGTAATACATAATCTTAAAAGACCTTACAGACATAATCTTACTAGTGCTGAAAATGGCTGTTCATTCCAAAGTCACTTACACATTTATTCAGCTCCTGCTGTGTGCCAGGCAGTGGCCTTAGCCCTGGGAGTGCAGTGTTGACTAAACATGTTTCTGAATCTTCAGGTACTCACAATCTAAACGTTAGGGTATGGGAAAGGGGAAAGTTCAGAAGGAGGAGAAATCAGAGCAATGTGTCCCTGTGGACCTTTTAGTCTGAAGGTGGAAGCAAGGTCTGTCCTGTGGACACAGGCAGACCCTTCATTGCAAGAGCAGTGGGACCTGCCATAGGTGCCAATGCTGGGGAAGAGAAGTTGGCCCCCGAACTTGGCTTTCCTAGGCTAGAATGTGGAATGGGACTGGGGAACAGAGCAGAAGTAGGTGTGGGCAGGGACTGAGGGAAGGGCCCTTCAGACGGGGAACTAGTGTTCTAGAGACTCAGAGGTAAGAGAGAGTGAATGTGTGTGAATGAGAGAGGGTGGCTTTCCAGGAGACATGAGCTCAGAAGATAAGAGACTGAGCCCATTCACCCAGGGGGGGTCCTGGGCAGGGTTTCTGGAATCCATGCCTCTGGGGAAAACACAGATGCCAATATTCAAGAATGGAGCAAATTAAGCTAACACTTTATCCTACGTGATATTTTGAGTCTGTGTAAAGAAGTCACATAAAAGACGTGACCTACTTTCTCCTTCCCTGAAGGAGTACAGATGGCAGTTTGGATATGGGATTCATTCAAATACGGCTGCAGCCCATACTGATAAGACAAGGTGTTCCCACGCACACCCCTACCTGCTCTCTGAGAGGTTTCTCCCCGTCGCACCTTGGCAATGGCCCTGGTGGGGGAATAGGCTGGGAAAGGAGAGATGGGCAGAGGAGCTGTCTGAAGGGAAGGAGAGAGGACTTAGAGAGAAGCCATGCCACATTTGAAGTGAAAAAACCCCTATGGGACAGGGATGGGAAGAGAGAAAACAGCAGTGGGTGTAAACATGATTTGACGTAGAGTGTTCAGCCGCTGGCAGTGACAGCACATGAACCAACAGCTGTTGGTGGCCACTGGGGATGGGTGGGGGGACCAGGAAGATTGTAGTGTTCCGAATCCACTTTAGCTCTTCTGTAGTCTGATCACTCTGAGGACATTACTTAAGAGGAATCCATTCAGATGCCAGTGGCCATTGTGGTGGCAGTGGGTGACCAAAAACCTGACCAAAGGGGGACGGTGGAAGGCCCTGGATGTCTTTGGGAAGAGATGTGACAGTTAACTGCAAAGATTTGATGAGCTTCCCTGCAAAGAGGGGTTGACCCCAGCTGATGACCCAGATGGCTAGGTAGGAACCGCAGCAGATTTGGCCCAGGGTAAGAAGCAACTTTTATTGATCCTGAGATGGGAGAGGCATGAGGGAGTTGGCATATTTCCAGCAGAGGTTGGCTAACTAACTGGCAGGAAGTTGAGGGAGGGACTGAAGGACATGTGGGAAGATGTGTGCAGTGGCCATTCATCCCTCTGCTGCCCTAAGAGTTCATGTGATGAAGCTTGAAAAAAAAAGGAATTTCACATTGGGGGAAATTAAGCTCAGATGCCAAGGAAGGATCAAGTCATGGAGAGGCCCCAGGGCCAAGGATTGTGAAATGAACCCAAGTCTTCTGACAGTACCAGACCTAGTCTAGGGTGTGGACCGATGCTCCTTGGGATCATGCATGTGCATATGATGTGCTTAAGGAATCCAAGCTGGCTCTGGATAAAAACACACACAGCAAGGTGGATCATCTCGCCCACCTTTCTCCTTCTGGGCAGTAACCGGGATTGTTCCAAAACACATGGCCCTGCTTTTTCTCTTCAGAAACCTTGACCTTCTCAATCATGGAGAACTGTGGGACAGATGGAGGGAACCATGTGCCTGAATCCTAGAATATTTGAACAGAGATTCCATAGGGTCGGGGCATGAGAAATGTAGGGCAAGGAGAGAGGAGTTAGCTAAGGAAGTCCAAGGAGACTCCAAGGAGAGGCCTCAGTGTCATGTTCTGGGCCTGAGCAAGGGGGCTAGCACTAAAAGATGCCAGAGGAGGCTTCCTGGTATAAACAATACTCTTGTTAGAGACAATGAGATCTCATTAGGAGCAAATGCCTCTCACTGTATTTCACCCCAGTGACAACAAGGAGCCATTCCATAGCCCTCTAACCACGTACAAAATGCATCCACATGTGGTATCTCATACGATTCTCATGGGCCCTGGGGGAGGCCTGGGGGCAACACCTGTGGTCCTTGCAGGGGCCAGGAAGCATTCCATCCCTGCTCGTGGTTAGTGCTATTCCCACAGCGCTGATACTTAGAGGGAGAGTCAAGCAGGCCCAACCACTAAGCAACAGAGGGGCGGGCCAGAGGGAACACAGAAGAGGGTAGGAGGCCACTCCCAGGGAGAGTTTGGCAGCTGCTTCTCACGCTGAGAGCCTGGGACAGGGCAGGGCACTCTGGGAATCTAAATTTAATTCCACCAGCTTCTCATCTACATAGATTATAGTCTAGGAACATGATGACAGGAGGAGCAAGCATTGGCTCAATAAAATTCTAACTCTGTCTGACCTTGAACAAGGTGTATGTTTCTGGGCTGGGAGAGTCCTCCATATCAGGAAGCCTGTGAAAAACGTTGCTTCTCCCTCCATTGCTGGACCTTTGGCCCAGAATGCATCTTCCAATTATGAGCCATGTACTCCGATAAGCCCTCTTCAAGCTCAGTGTAACTCCCATCATTTGGCTGGACCTGCTGCCCTGGTTTTATCAGCTTTCCGATCAGTCCAGGAAACTGTGTGTCTTCAGGTTGGTCAACACTCTGTTGAAGACTGAGCTGGGAACTTGGGATGCTGGGAGGTACTTGAGGATGGAAGACTGGTTCTGAATGTCCCAGTGCCAGGCCAGAAAGGCTTCTGGGGGCTCCGAGGGTGTGTTCTGGCTTCCACACCTGTCCCAGCATGCTCAGCTGTGGGGAGTTGTCCCCACCCTGCAGAGCAAGTATTCCACAGTGACAGTAATTCCTAGCTGCCTAGCCCCCTTCCGGTGCAGGTGCACTCAGCATTCCCTCCTGTGTGTGATGGGCCCCTAGCTTCCCTGTTATAGACTTAACAGCCTCCTCCCCCAAGGCTTTCACCCACAAGATGACCTCATCACAAGAACTTAAGCTGCCTTTCCAGGTCTTTTTAGTTTCCAGTGAAACAGGGGCTTGTTTCAAAGCTTTTCCTGATAATTATATCATCTCTGGATCCTTCCAAATGCAATAGTGAGAGAGAATCCTTCCTGCTGTCTCTATCTAGCATCTCCTACACTTCGGTTTCCCTCTAAGGTAGATGCAGTCCCTCTTTTAGATGAGGAAACTCAGGCTCAGAGAAGGCAAGGGACCTACCCAGAGTCACACAGCTAGAGATGTGCAGTCAGGAGCAGGTCTCTGGCTGACTCCTTGGCTCAGACAACCTCCACTTCCCCTCACCTACGTGCTCATCTTGGCTTCCTCCTTCCTGGCCTTTATTCTGCTCCAGCACTGCTAGCAAGCCACTGGGGGCCTCCTTCCCTGCTGTCTGTCCTGAGCAGGCTGCCCCAGTTGAGCACCTCTCCTTCCTGCCTAAAAAGCCTCGGCCCCTCCTCTGCTGGCTGCCAACTTTCCACATCTCACCCCGCCTCCCCATTGTCTGTGACTCTCCTTTATGCCCCCCAGGCTTCAGCTTTCCCCACTCCCCTGAAATTTCCTTCTCCTACGTCCCTGGTGGAGTCCTGCGGGGCTGGGTGGCTTGTCATTGCACGTCTTTCTTCAACTTTTTTCTTAGTCCCTGCAAAAAGCTATCAAAACATCACCACCCCTGATCCTGCCCATGGCCACAGCCTACCTGTGGCAGCTTCATCCCAGTGATCAGTTCCAGGGTGTGCGTGTGTGTCCTCGAGATTGGAGGTGCTCTGGCACTCTGATATCCAGCATAGATGGGGTACCCTCCAACTGAGGGGACTGCGTGGAGGATGGAGCAAGTGGGGGTGCGAGGAGAGCACCCAGAGACCCAGAGACCCAGAGGACTTAGTTTTGCTTTCAAAGCCTTCCAGAACAATGGAAGGACTAGCAAACACACATACATACACATGTGAATATGCACTTGAATCTGGCAGCAACTGAGCTGAGAAAAAGAAACCAATGGAGAAGCCGAGTGCTTTTATTTTTTATTTTTATAAACATATAATGTATTTTTATCCCCAGGGGTACAGGTCTGTGAATCGCCAGGTTTACACACTTCACAGCACTCACCATAGCACATACCCTCCCCAATGTCCATAACCCCACCCCCCTCTCCCAACTCCCCTCCCCCCAGCAACCCTCAGTTTGTTTTCTGAGATTAAGAGTCACTTATAGTTTGTCTTCCTCCCAATCCCATCTTGTTTCATTTATTCTTCTCCTACCCCCTTAACCACCCCCCCATGTTGCATCTCCACTTCCTCATATCAGGGAGATCATATGATAGTTGTCTTTCTCCGATTGACTTATTTCACTAAGCATGATACCCTCTAGTTCCATCCATATCCGTTGCAAATGGCAAGATTTCATTTCTTTTGATAAGCCGAGTGCTTTTAATCAAGGAAAACTCCCAGAAGAGTGGGCCTTGTCCACTGCCTGGCAGAGCAGGGGAGAAGGAGACATTTGCTCTCAAGGCCTGATGGACAAATTCTGATTCAGGTCCAAATGCTCAGGAATTGAGATTGTGGGTGCCCCAGAGCTTGCCTATTAGTAGAAGTTTGAAGTGGGTCACTGACAGGCTGCATGGCCCATCAGGGAGAGAAGAGTGTGAGTGGGTTTGGCAGATGGAGAGGAGCAAAGGAAGAGGGAAGAGGGTTGATCGGTTTGGACAAAGCACAGGAGTGGAAAGGTCAAGGCGTGAGGCTCTGCGAGTGGGTGGCAAGAAAGCTGTAGGCTGTGGTGGAGGGGCCCATGACATGAGGAGGTCTTCGGGATGGTGGCAGGCATGTTCTCGCATTTTGACGGGTGTGGCTTGTCAGCTTGGGTGCACGTCTTTAAACCTCCATGGACTTAAGCTGCCTTTTCTTTAAAATGAAGCTGATCTTAGTGACCACTGTGAGGACCTTGGATGATCTTTAGATGAGCTACGGCTCCTAGCATGTAGTCGGTGTCTGTGGGTATGGGTGCCTCTCTCCTTTTTCATGCTCTCTTTAAGTGCAGGGCCTGCAAGAAAGCCAGAAGAAGGGTGAGTGGCTCACACCTTTCTCCCATGTCTACTTTTTAATATCGCCACATGTTCACCACAGTCCTGGGGACATGGCAGGAAAGGACGAGCTGGAATGGCTGGTGACATGGCAGCTTCCAGCCCTGCCGGGGTCCCAAAAAAGTGAGCGGTGGGAACAGAATAGAAGTTTAATTCAGAAACTGGAGAATTCCCAGGAATGAACTACATGACTTAGACACATTTTTTGACCTCTTTGAGTCTGCCTTCTCAGGGCAAAGGGAGAGCAAGGGACCTTGTTTGATTGGTGGCTTAGATGGTGTGGTCTTTGAGTCCCTGAAGATGGGAACATGCTGTGATTGTCGGACACCATTCCACTTGCCCGTCCTTGCGCCCCTTCTCAGGTTTAGAAGAACAGTTGAACTGAAACCAGGGGACCAGGGTTCTAGTGCACATCTAGTTCTGATGTGTGTTTTCTGGGCTGGAGTGTCTAAGCAAGTCCCCTCACCTCCCTGCACCTCGATTCTCCACTTTGTAAAATGGGTCCAAACAGTTTGACTGCTTCATTCTTGCTGCTCCCGTGGGGTGGTGTTGGTGTATGTCCTCAGTCAGGTGAAGTGCACAAGTGTCCGCTGACGGTGATTTTTATGCCTTCTCATTTCTTCTTTTCCCTCCGACTTTCCCTCCTCACGATAACCCCTACAGTCAGTTTTGCAGCTCTGTCAATTGTCTAGCAAATGCCTGTCCATTTCTTTTCTTCCAGTGTCAGTTTCTCAGTTTGGGGATGGGAGCACGGGCCCCTGAGAGATTTGTTGTTGGCTGACAAAGTTGAGAGAATAAACACACACATGTACACACGCGCACGCGCACACACACACACACACACACACACACACACACACACACACGCATGCACACCCAGGCACACACCCCTCCAAACTGCTGGAAGGAATCAATGTGCAGGGCGACGTGTCTCCCAGGGGAGTATGCTTAACTAAAAGAATTTTGATTGCCTGTCAGGAGATGGTTAGGCAACAGTCATTACCATGCCAAGACCATCCCAGGTCCCATAACTTCTAGTTGGGAACAGGATCTGAATTACTCATTCTTCAGACACATGGTTGGTTTAGCAGCCCACGGATGTTAGTGTTAGGACTGAGTCCCAGACTACAGAGTCTCAAAGATGGGGGGCGAGAGGGGATCAGTGGAGAAGGGAAGGGCACCTTCTGGAGGCCGGTGTGTACAAAAACTGGGAAAAGAGGAGGGACAAGCCTCAGCAGTGAGGTACGGGCTGGGGAGGACTGACACGTAGCTGTGTTGCTTTAGGAACACAGGGCCCTGGCTGGAGGGTCTTCGCAGGACCCCCTTTCTCCCCATATCTTGTATTCCACAGTGAGGACCTTCTGCACAGGCCTGAGATTTACCACTCAGAGCTGTGCAGAGCCGGCTGGACTTAGCACTGGCTTCTCACCAACTCTTCAGTTTTGTGTTCATGTGCAAGGGTGGGCAGCAGGCTGGGCTTCTAAGGAGTCGCAGAATGGCAGTCTATGTGGGGTTCAGGTCGTTCCCAGTCTCAACCCCACTCACTTCTGTTCATTAAGATTGATCAAGGGGTATTCCTCCGGGAGGGCCCCGGTGGCTTCCTGGTCGGTCACAGTTGGGACACTCTTGCACCTGGATAGAAGTGAAACCTCCCCACTGAACTCTGTGCCTGTGACCTCCCCTTCTGCGAGTGAGTTGAGGTGCTTTGCAAGTGCTTGCATATGCCTGGGACTAAGGATTTGAAGGGATGGAACGGGCCTCTTGCCTTTGGAGCTCTCTGAGGCGGGAAGCTGGCTGTGTCGTCTGGCTTTACATGCAGTGGCCAGCACACCCCAAAATCATCGCCGTGGTGTCATACAACACTGCTGGTTAGGATTCCGCTGGTTAGGATTCCACTGTCACTCTGCATCCTCAGTTCAAGTTCCCTCCATGCCCCTTTATTGCCTTTGTAAACTTGAGCTTCAGTGCCTCAGTTTCCCTGTGTTAAAACTGGGCAGCATAATAGCATCTGTCTCAGTGTTGTGAAAATGAAATAGGTGTGGAAGGGTCTGGTACTGTGCCGGTTTTTTCACACATCTTAGCTAGTATCGTGCCTGTTACTATGGCCATTACTATCGTCTAGGAACAGCGTTCACTTCTCGGACCAGGCTTTCCAGATGCACATCGTTGTCCTCTCTTCCAAGTCTACAGTCATCTCTCCACACCACCCAGTGTCGGTCCCCAAGCCCCTGTGAAGCCTCACCTCTACCCCTTGGCTTTACAAAATGTATGGAATAGGTTCTACCGGTTACCTCCCAGCTCTCTAAGCTTTTCCACAGGCATCTTTGTGCCCTCCGTTTGCACCACTTTCCTTTGCTGGTGTCTCTGTCTCCTGCCCCGGCCTGTCTCTGAGGAAAAAGAACAACTGGCAAACTCAAAAAGAGCATGTCTTTCCCTCTGGCCCTTCTTGAACACCTGCCCATCCATCCTGTTCTCTGCTAGTGTCTCTTCCTATAATATTAAAGCCCGAGTAATAGAAATAAGTTGTTTGAGTTTTTCACTTATTAAAGCTCTTATTTGGGGTCCAGAGATATGACTTGGTGAGCTCTGGGCTCTAGAGAGCCATCGCAGATATGGGCCAGAGAGTTCCTCTGCCAATTTGAGCGTGAGGAGTTGCACCTGCCAGGCTTGGGGGGACAGTGCACTTCACAGCTTACAAAGGCAAAGGCAAGAACAGGAACATACATATCTCTGTGACAGGAGGTTATGAAATCCTACCAAGAAGCACCAGGTGGCAGATGCAGGGTCCTGTTTCCCAAGGTCACAAGCACTTGAAGGGAGATTTTGTCTGATAAAATGATTACCACACGATTGATCTTGCACGCACAGCAATTTTGAGAGCTATCCTGGGAGCTAGGTGTGTAGTGTTTATCGTATTGTTGAGGCTCGTAAAAATCTTGTATGGCTGCAGGCAAGCCAAACCCTTGACAGGCTCTGCGTCCCGCTGACTCGAGGACCAAGCCCAGATGTGCTCCCTGTATATAAGGGACAGTCTCTGTGCTTGGGGTAGAGGAGTGTGAGCTCCTTTCCTTTCCCGACTTTGCTCCAACTCTCTCCAAGGCAGCATGAATCGACACTTCAGTTCTAGGTCTGGGTACCGGAGCGGAGGGGGCTTTAGCTCTGGCTCTGCCGGAGTGGTCAGCTTCCAACGCAGGAGCACTAGCAGCTCTGTGCGCCACAGTGGGGGAGGTGGCGGGAGATTTGCAGGGGGAAGATGTGGAGGCGGTGGTGGCGGTGGTGGTTTTGGAAGTCGGAGCCTTGTCAACCTTGGTGGCAGTAAAAGTATCTCCATAAGTGTGGCCAGAGGAGGTGGACGTGGTGGCTTTGGGAGTGGTTATGGTGGTGGTGGCTTTGGCGGTGGTGGCTTCGGAGGTGGTGGCTTTGGTGGTGGTTATGGTGGTGGTGGCTTTGGGGGTGGTGGCTTTGGGGGTGGTGGCTTTGGGGGTGGTGGTTTTGGTGGAGGTGGTTTTGGTGGAGGTAGTTTTGGGCCTGTCTGCCCTCCTGGTGGCATACAGGAAGTCACCATCAACCAGAGCCTTCTGCAACCCCTTAATGTGGAGATTGACCCCGAGATCCAAAAAGTAAAGACTCGAGAAAGGGAGCAAATCAAGTCGCTCAACAACCAGTTTGCCTCCTTCATTGACAAGGTGAGTTTATCTGCTCAGTGCATGGGGAGGACTGCTCTTGGTCCATTTCAGATGCCTTGGGGTTTAGCCTCAAGTTTCTGTTTGGGGATTTCGTAGAATTGTCTTCTAGGAGATAAGTTAGAAGAATTCTTGTGAATGATTCTAATGACTAAACTCTCTCTTGAGCAAAGAAGTCTGTGATTTATATAGTGTGGGTCAATGTGATATCACCTTGAAGTGTCTTCTCATTCAGTTCTTGAGCTGAATTGGGGCTTACTTAACATATGGTGAATGAAGGAAATAGAAATGGGGCTAACTCAGCTTTCTAGGGGGCAAATGGGAGCTCTGGAAAGGTCTTCCTAAAGGGAGTTGAGGGTGAATAGAGTGCACTGTGATATTGTAGCAGAAAGGATGTAGTAAGTAGCACCAAACATCTTTTGCTTTTAGGCAGGGAGCTCTGCCCTCTAAAAATGTTACATTGGTAGCAGTTTTTCAAAATACTGATATTCTGAGTACACCTCTGGAAAAATATGTAAACCATTTCTTATTTTTTGCTTAACCATCAATCATGTCAACTCAAAGTTATCCACAATAGATTTTAAATTCCATTTTGGATTTCCCCAACATCCCTCTGAAAGTGTGAATGTTTATGGAATGCGTACCAATATTTATGGCAATCTACCTAAAAAAAGTGGAAAGGCAAATCTCTTAAATATCATGTATCTATTTCAAGTGTAATTGCAGTAATTTTATATAGGGCTTTGCTGTCTGGTATCTGTCTAGTTACTCCTTTCAAAAATTCCAGCTGTGACAGTATAGTAATTATTATTCTCAGGGAAATTAAAGCTTCTGTGAATTCACAGCGAGTTAGATGTTGTTACAAAAAATGATGCTAACTTGATTTTCTTCCTATTTCACTGCCGTGGCCAGGAAAACAGGACTTGAAAGAACAAGTTCTTTTCCAAATGAGGCATGGGTCTCACTGTTGTTGCCTATGGCTCTCAGTGGCCGGCGGACTCCATTTCTACACCAGTTGGTAACGGGGGCTCGTGTTCTCAGGTGCGGTTCCTGGAGCAGCAGAACCAGGTGTTGCAAACAAAATGGGAGCTGCTGCAACAGGTAGACACCTCCACTCGGACCCACAACTTAGAGCCCTACTTTGAGTCCTATATCAACAATCTTAGAAGGAGAGTGGACCAACTGAAGAGTGACCAATCTCGGATGGATTCAGAATTGAAGAACATGCAAGACCTGGTGGAAGATTACCGGAACAAGTAAGGAAGACTGACCAAGCAATCCTTCCAGAAAGTGGCAAGTTAAGACTACAAGTCTTAAGCTAAGAGAGTATGTAGTGATATATTTTCTTAGGTTAGAGGCCAATTAATTTAGCATCTTTAGAATTCTTCCTCTTCTCAGAAGTTGGAAATAGCTTAGAAGTTTGGTTGCTCCAAAGGACAGGGTGACCAAGCTGTCCTAGGCTAATAACAGGAGGCAATGACAGGTGATGCCAATCTCAGTTGGGGAAGCTGAACTTCAGGTCTCACCTTCTCCAAATATCCAAATCCCTCTGATTTCCTTGCAGATATGAGGACGAGATCAACAAGCGGACAAATGCAGAAAATGAATTTGTGACCATCAAGAAGGTGAGCAAATCTGTGGGATGGACCTCACATCTGAAATAAAGAATAGATGAGAGTCTCCAATTACTAAGCAGAAGGAGGTCATGATGTGGAGAACCTGGTTGAGGGCCTGATGAATAGCTGAATAGAGTTTTCCCCCCACATTATCATGGACCTAGGCTTTTCTAGGCCTTTTGCTTCTCCAGCTCTCTCAGCCCTTCACAGAGAAGGTGGGGAGGCAAGTTCTTAGCAGCTCAGGTGAGCTGTCCTGTGATTTTGATTCCAAGGCTTGGGGCAGTCTAGGGATTGTGATCTGCCTGGTGTAGGAAAATGTGGAGGAGACTCCAAACGCTTGTTCTACTGGAAAAGCCCCTCACAGCTGGTGAGAGGGACTCGTCCTGGGAAAAACATGATTTCGTGATGTCCATTGTTCTTCTAGGATGTGGATGCTGCTTATATGACTAAGGTGGACCTTCAGGCCAAAGTTGACAACTTGCAGCAGGAAATTGATTTCCTCACTGCACTCTACCAGGCAGTAAGTCCTTTGTTTTTGACCACATTTAACCAAATGTAGAGCCTCTGAGCCTGTGCCCATCACTATCCAGAAGAACAAAGATATATCTTCCATCTCCTGACTCCTCCTCCCTCTGTCTAAGCTGTGTTTTGTTTTAACATTCTAAGTCACTGAGCTGTTGTGTTTTGCAGGAGTTGTCCCAGATGCAGACTCAAATCAGTGAAACCAATGTCATCCTGTCCATGGACAACAACCGCAACCTGGACCTGGACAGCATCATCGCTGAGGTCAAAGCGCAGTATGAGGAGATCGCCCAGAAGAGCAAGGCTGAGGCTGAGGCCCTGTACCAGACCAAGGTGAATGAGCCGAATGTCTAGCCAGTTTTCCTGAAATGTCTTGTCTTGCTGTCCTGTGTCTTCTGTTATATTTCTCTGTGTGAGCCATGGTATGCTCTGCCCCATCTAATTGACTTGATCTACCATCTTTAGTATGAAGAGCTCCAGATAACTGCTGGCAAACATGGGGACAATCTGAAGAGTACAAAGATGGAGATTTCAGAGCTGAATCGGGTGGCCCAGAGACTGCGATCTGAAATTGATAGTGTCAAGAAGCAGGTATTTGTTCCCTCCTTCTGCTGCTCAGCTCTATCTATATGGCATTGGGGAGGGAGGCTCAGGTAACTGGAGGACACTTTTCTAGTGTTGAATCTTGCAATCCGTTCCAAGCCTTTGGTGATTATTCTGGTTTCCACAATTCAGGCTTCATGCTGGGTTCTCTTTAGGGAAGCTTGTGAAAATGACCTAGCAGAGAAATAGATGTGATGGTCATGAGTGATCTAGCCCATGATGCAAAGACTTGGTGAATGAGAGGAAAGGTGGCCAGGAGGTTTCGGGATAGACATTTAGAAAAAGGGAGGAAGGGTGGAGAAGCCTCAAGTCAGGGCCAGGAGAGGCTGCTCTGTATTCCCTTTAAGGACTTTTAAGGAAGTCAACTCAGTGAGTATGTATCCAGAGGCAGTGATGTGTTATCCAGAGCCATAAGTGGACTTAAAACTGTTGTGATTCTGTTGGACCTAGAGTACCAGCCTCACTGAGGTGCCCAGGGTGGGATTAGATGATAAGAGAGTGAGTGACATGTGAGCTTCTCCTCTCTCAGATCTCTGCGCTGCAGCAGTCCATCAGCGATGCCGAGCAGCGTGGTGAGAATGCCCTTAAAGATGCCCAGGGCAAGCTGGCCGAGCTGGAGGATGCCCTGCAGAAGGCCAAGGAGGACATGGCCCGCCTGCTGCGTGACTACCAAGAGCTGATGAACACCAAACTGGCCTTGGATATGGAGATCGCCACCTACAGAACCCTTCTGGAAGGAGAGGAAAGCAGGTGAGGACAGAACCCTGGGCACTTTGGCCATTTTTTACGGTGCCTCCTCCCTTGTAGGCTGACTGCCGTCCAGCATGCAGCCGAGGGACTGCAGCTTGTCCTGGGTATGGGGGGAGGAAAGAAGCTGGGTTCAGGAGGAAAGATGAGGCCTCACTTTGGGACTAGAAGGGCTAGAGCATCTGTACGAAGTGCTTTGCGAAGGAATCATTTATTCTCCATCTAGGAGGGTTCAGACGTTATCTGGCCTGAAGGTCAATGGCACTATTAATTTGCACTCTCTGCAAGACGCCTGTCTATTTTCTACAGTGATTTCTTCCTGTTTGTGTTCACACAAACACTGAGAAAACTGCTGAGAAAAAGGCAGCAGTTTGGGATCCCGAGGGCACTGGATTAGGTTTCAGATCAAGTGGGTAGGAGGAGCTCCAAATGGGGAGAGAGTCTCTGCCCCTGCTGAGAGGGTGTGTGCGGCTGGAGAGTCATGCAGGACTTGCTCTTCTTCCTCCTACAGGATGTCTGGAGAGTGTGCCCCGAGCGTGAGCGTGTGTAAGTACCAGCTGCTTTCTCGGGGGCCTGTGAAGGTTTTGCTGGGCTGGAGAGGGAGTGGGGCTGACGATAACTGAGTGTCCCCTTGCAGCTGTGAACACCAGCCACACCACCATCAGTGGAGGTAGCAGCAGAGGAGGCGGTGGCTTCGGCTCCGGTGGCGGCGGCGGCGGCGGCGGCTATGGTTCTGGAGGTGGCAGTTACGGCTCCGGAGGTAGCAGTTATGGCTCCGGAGGTGGCGGCGGCGGCAGCTATGGTTCTGGAGGTGGCAGCGGCGGAGGCTACGGCTCCGGTAGCAGCAGTGGAGGCCACAGAGGCGGCAGCTGGGGTTCTGGCGGCGGGAGCTCCGGAGGCCGGGGATCCAGCTCTGGGGGTACCAAGACCTCTAGTGGCGGTTCCAGCGTGAAGTTTGTTTCCACCAGCTATTCCAGAGCCGTCAGATAAAGAGGTGTCCTCTATCCTGTTAGCTCTCCCTCTCCATCACTACCAAATATGCTTGGCAAGACCAAGGGCAGTTGCCCCAACCTCACTGGAGAAAAGAGCTATCATTAGTTACACCCTAGTTCACCCTAGTTCACCCTAGTTCCCCAGCTCTTTCCTTTCTTCTCTGCTTTCCAAAGAAGTTTTTAGATCAGTGGCAATCTCAGTCCCTCTGGCTGTGACCCTGCTTTGTGCTTTACCTAAGAAACAGTCTAGCAATGACCACTACACACATTACATTTCAAAGCATCTCCTTAAGTCAGCCAGATGAGGGCTGGTTAGAACCATGGCTTCTTTGTTGTGCATGGAGCACACGCCCTGGACACTCCTTAGGATCCTAGTTCTTGGAGCAAGGTCTGTGCTGCTTTGGTTTTGTATATAAGGTGTGAGCAAGTTGATTGTCTTCTGTGGAGAGGTCTTAAACTCCCCCTTTCCTTGTATTGCTGCAATAAACTGCATTTTGAAATTCTCTACGAGTCTCAATCTCCTTTGTTCATGGCACTCTCTGTCTTGCGTGGTGCTTTGTGGGAGGGAAAGAAGACCTTGGAGCCATATGGCATATGGGGAGTTGGGACATATAAAATGATGGGCAAGATGGGGACACTGGTCAGGCACCATTCATCTTTAAGCATTTGATAGTTAAATACAACACACTCTTTCCCAGAGTGTGCAGATGTCATAGAGAAATGGAGAGATCAAGGTATTCATCCGAGAAGTGTTTCTTGGAAAGGACAGTGAACAGGCAGTTTGGGAAGGAGGAGTTTGGTATTGAGAAGAAAGGAAAGTATAGTGTGGAAGAGTAATTGTTATGTGCAATAGTCGGTGATGAGAGGGGTGTGGATAACACAGGGTCAAAAGCTGCTACAGCCAGAATGCAGACTTTGGCTAGGGAGTTCAAGAACCAAGAGTGGTAATGAATAGCTAGGTATCATTTCCTCTCTTTCAGATACATACCCAAAGCTCTGTTCAATTTAACAAGTTCAATTGTACACATATAGCTCGTACTTGTGAAGTAGTTCAACAGGAAGGCATAGTGATCAGAAGCATGGGCATTTGGACGCGGATTTGCTTGTGTTTGGATCTTACTACCCCATTTACAAGCTATAAGCACGCAGCGAGTGCCATTTTGATTGTCATGTTGCTGCTGCTGATCTGGCTACCATAACATATCTTGTTGGTCTCTAGATGGCTCAGTAGATGCTTGCTCTAAAGACCAATGAACATCAGCTTCTAAGGGGTTCTATGATCATGAAAAAGTCAACTTTCCTGGAGATCAATTCTATTAACTTCCAGTTAAGAAAAGTCTTCCTAGCTCCAGTGTCAAGCAGAATTGAGGGGAATAAAGAGAGTATATGTCAACAAGAGTATAATGTAAATACAACCTGGTGAGCTATATCTCTCATCTCCAGTCCTGTCTGAACTGATGTGAAAAAGAACAGTCTTCAATTCAGAGAAACTGGGTTTAAGCTACTGTGGTATTTAAGGGGTGGGCTAAAGAAAATAATCCACAGCTCACTGGATGTGTGGCTCCTTGGACAAATCAGTTGGCCATTCTGAACTTCACTTGTCTTGTAGGTTAAATGAGGATAAGACTATTTGTTTCTGGACATCAAGAGGATAGGATACATAATGTGAAATGCTTTGTGAATTGTCAATATGTTATATAGAAGTGGTTAAATGGAATTAAAAGAGAGTGACAGAGAAGTAGAAGACAGCTGGCTGCTGAGGACACCAAGGAAGGAAGTGCCTTGGTAGGGTCACTGTGACCCAGCAATAGCTTGGTAGGGATGTAGAATTGATTTTGTTAATGCACCCAATTTGAGTTTCCTCCTAGTGGGCTAATATTTGTGAACTAAACACATAAGCAATGGATGTGTAAACCATAATGTCCATGTACTAGTTAGTGATATATTCAGTGACTGAAATACCAGAGCTCCCCATCCTGTTAACAAGACACTTAGGAAACTGAGTTAGTCAGAATAGGTGGCTTGGTGCTTGTTGATTTAGAACAATGGGATTTGAGTGGCCTTGAAGGAGATGGTTTACTTTCCTCCATGGGAGAGAAGAATTCTGGGGCCACTAGATACTAGAATACTGCTGCCTAGAATACTACTGAATGAACCAATGAGAATGTTCTAGTATTTGGGCACACATTTTCTAACTTCTTTCTTACATTATAACTTTCTTCAGTTACATTTCACATCAGAGAAACCCTTGTTGACCTTGTTTGGACTTGGATTTTCTTGGTAAGTTCAGACATGAAACACAGATCCTACAATTTACAGTAAAACTTATCAAAACCTGTCAGGTCACAGGACTAAATGAAAACCATGTGTAGGTCAGTATATAATGAAGAACTAAATTGAATAATATGAAGTGTCAAAATGCATTAGTACTAGAGAGACAGCAGAGGAATGATCTGGGCTTCCATTCTGTGCAACAAACAGTTCTGTGCACAAACTATGTATCAGGGACAAGTTCATACGTTCAGGGATACTATAATGAGCAAGACACGGCTCTTGCTGTCAAAGAGCTCAGAGGCTTGGGTGATGGGTTGTATGCAAATGTGCTGTTACAATGCACCCAAAACATGCGATGATAAAAACACATAGAAGACCTAGAAATGGTACATACTGAAGGGATGCACAACAGGGTTTTAGAAGATAAACAGGAGTTTGTTGGGCAGACGAGGCAGAGAAGGACACTCCAGAAAGAAGAAATAATATGGGTAATGACATGGAAGAATGAAATTACATGAAGTGTTTGATCATATGAAGGAGCATGAAGTTAGTGACAAAAAATACGGGTGAAGAATTCATTAGATCCACTCAGAAAGGACCTTCCTTGTAGGCATCAAAGGAGTCTGGACTCTAGTTTGTGGGTCAGAAGTTCTCAGGTGGGGTTTTGGATCTATAGGTTTATTGCAACCTACTATGTACTGGGATAGTAGAGGACAAAAGTGTTGTTTTACTGGTGGAGTAAAAGTTGAGCATGGACCACAGTTTGTCTTGTACCTGAATATCCTATAAGAAATCTGGTCTGCTTATGAGAGATCTGCTTATGGAAACGCTTTTTTCCCCCAAGTGTTTAGGGGCTGAAACAGCTATTATAGGTGAGAAGGAGCCAGTGAAGGAATTTAATAGGAGACTGGCATGGTCGGATGGGTGTTTTAAAGGAATCACTCAGACCAGATTGGAAGGGACCATAATGGAGTAGGAAGACTTGATAGGGAATGATCACAAAGGTGCAGGCAAAAGACAGCAAAATCTCACACCTTAAGTTCAGGTCCTTAGAGGTGGGTGGGTGGCCAGAGATGAGGGTGTGGATCTGCATTCCACAGGTAGTTAGGATTCAAATTATTAGGACTTGGTGATGGATTGGTATGTGGGTTGGGAATGGGTGACACAAAGGGTAGAGTTGAGGAACTCTCCATGTTTCTGGCTTGGGTAATAACATAATGTAGCAAGAGGGCTAATGTGGAGAAATGATGAGTTAGGTTTTTTGCCTCTACTCTTTCCATGTAATTGTTGGGGCTAGCAGTATAAACTGAACTTCATCAAAATCTGAAAGTTAAATTATGAGATAACTCAGGAAGAAGGGGTACAGAGAGAATTGCCGAGAAAACGCAGTGGGAAAGAAAAACAGATATGGGAGGAACTTGCTCAAAAGGAGAAAATTTAAAGTCCATGAGACCAGACATAATTCTTCAGGGGCTCTCCAGCCAAGACAGTGGGGTCCCCGAGATCTAGTGATGACCTCTCAAAATCTTAGACTCTCATATTTCTCCTACCTTTCTTCCTTCCTTCCTTCTCAGAGAGAGAGTACACAAAGAGATACACAAAGAGGGGAAGCGTCAGTCAGAGGGAGAAGCAGTCTCAATGCAGGACTGGATCCCAGGACCCTGGGATCATGACCTGAGCCAAAGGCAGACACTTAACCTACTGAGCCACCCAGGCTTCCCTTAGACCCCCATATTTCATCCTTGGGTAAGTCCAGTGCAAATTTGATGCTAGGTACTTATCGAAGTATTCAGAAGGATGGAAATCTACAAATAAAACCATATGATAAAAATTCTTCCATCCCCTAACACCAAGTTCCCTTTATCTGGGGCAACTGTAGTTTCTTGGATATCCTTCCAAAGGTATGTGCATATGCACATGAGAGTAAAAATATACTTAAATATTTATTCTCTTTTCTCAGAGGTACTAGCACCCTGGCCTCCCCACAACCCTCACCAGAACCGCACGTTCTTCAACAGATGAACCTTTTGGAATTTGGCTATGGCTTCTGCCCACATGCCACAGTCTATGAGACAGTTTTAGCCTTTTGCCCTTCCCTTAAGCTGCCAGCATCCAGCTCCTTCCCCTGGGTCTGGATCCATGTGTCTCACTCCTAATATTTCAGCTGGAGGGACAGAATCATTCCATAGACCCTTGGAATTCCTTTTGGGTCATTCTTCTTCCTTGAATGGTCACAGTGTCACAGACATCAGTTCACTGTGGAAGGTCACTCTTCCAAAGTTCTAAACTGGCCAAAGTTTCTTTTTATAACTGTCTGGCTTGAACATAACCATATCTTTAATAGAGTTCTGAGATTCATCCAACTCTGAAGAAGAATGACCATCCCACCTTCTCCCTTTCTCCCACACTGAGTGCCTCTTCTCCTACAATTCCAGGCCTCAGACAATCATCTAGTGCCCGTGGGGGGAAAAAGCAGAACGCAGCAGCTCTGCCTGCAACCTCTCAGCTCCTAGTTCAGCTTAGCTCAGTTCTGCCATCTTCACTCCCTCCCTTGGGGGAAGGTCTTCAACTAGCCTCAGGGGCTGTTCACTAGCCCTTGGGAGAGAAAATTCAAAAGATGATCTTGAGCCAGAGCTTATGGCTTTGCATGGAATTTTAGGAACCATAACCTCCCAGGACAGTCTTCATTAGAATGTCGGTCCCTAGGAGGGACTATGAGGAAGT